ATGTGTCTCAATCCACCCATCGGAGAATGTCCAGGGCAGGGGAGACGGTCAACAAACATCTGGAATGGGTGACATGCTGGTAGACGTCAGCCAGCCTCCCTTTGCAGCCACCCTAGTGCGGGTACACAGGGCCCAAGGACAGACAGAGCAGTCATGACGACAGGGGTGAAGTGGCCCGGGCTCCTCTCCCGAAGGCTCGGGGAGGTCCTGAACGCCTGGTCTGCCGAAGCAGGACCAAAGCTGAGCCCTCCATATGCTATCTCCAAGGGACCAGCCAGCCACCGGTAGCAGGTGGATTGCATCTGTCCTCCGTCCACCCTGGAGGGGGGCAATTTGTATTTATTGAGATTAATGTTAATCCACATACGGTTCCCCCTGACCACCCTGGGGGGGAGGGGCTCACCCCCACCACCATCTGAGGGCTTTAGATTCCCTGATGTAGTGACATGGTATACACATATCGCCTCACACCAAGTGACCTGTTTTTTGGCAAAATGTGGAACAATGGGCATCTGACCAAAGGATCCAGTGATCTCTCCAGGAACCCCAACACCCGAGTGGCATAGCTTGGAAGGACCAAGCTCAGGGACCATACTTCACAGTTCTGCTCTCCAAGCAGCTGAGAAAGGCCACCGTGTCCCCTGTGGCTAGAATACGCGGGGACAGGAAGCAGAGGGTGTAAGTAGAGGCCCCTCCCTCCATCACTCCAGTGACCCACTTCTGGAGTTCATGTTTCCTGTGCCCGGGGGCAGGAAGCTTCTGCTGAGGGACACGATAGGGTCCCATCGAACTTGAAGATGTGGCCATCCCCCGGTGGCTGGGCCCGTCATGCTGGCGGACCAGCAGGCAGAGTCGCTGTGCTGCTGTGGGTCAAGACTCTGGTCCCCGTGAGGAGCCAGGGCTGCGGCTACTCGGTGGGACAGGGGAGTGTCGGGAACCCCCTCAGTGTCTGTCTCTTGGTGTCTCCACACCCACTGGTAGCAGCAAGTGGCAGTCGTGGCAATCATGGCCCAAGCAGGACCAGACAGCCAAGGGCTCAGGTCCCCTGGGAGGAAGTCTGCATCACCCCACCAGGAACCAGAGCAGTTGCAGCATAGACGAGGACAAGGGCAATCTAGAATGGGGCTGGACGAGGGACCAGCTGTACCAGCAGCTAGTCCCCCGAGGCAGAGACTGTGCGGGCTACCGCCTCGTAGGGCTCTGTTAGGTCAGACTTAGACCTCCCCTCCCGGGCAAGACGGGAGGGAAGGCAAGTGTAGCTCTGAGTGATTTGAGGGGTAGACTTTTCTACATAAACCCTCTGCCCCCCTTCAGACCCTCCTGGCCTCCCTTGCCTGTTGCTTCAGCCCCGCCTGGGCTGGGTGACTTGTGGCGACCACAACCGACCCACACCACAGCCCCAGCCCACGCTTGTGCCCCTCACCTCCATCACCCACCATGGACCCCAGTTAGGTGCCCCAGCATTCATATATGCAACCCAGAAATACAGAGTCAGTGCCCCAAGGGGCAAATCTTCAACCAGTGGGAAGAAAGAAATAGTGGGTAAATTCTTCCCCCCTCTGTCCCCACCAAGATACGAGATTTGCCCGCGTGGCTTCTCAAGGTCACCGCCTGTTACTCTGCAGGCACATCTAACGGCAGCCAGCTCTATAATGCATCCTTCTGCTAGCTGTCCTTCCTTCCCACTTCTCTCTTCCTCCCTCCCTCCCTGCCTCTCTCTGGGGTTGTTCTGCAGAAATAAGTGAGGGTGCATGAGCCTTCTGCTTGAGGCTCTGCTTTCTGGGGAACCCTGGCCAAGGCACCATCCATGTGCCGACTCCCAAATGTGTACCTCCAGGCCAGACTCCACGGAGCTCCAAGTTCTTGTATCCAACTACAGAAGAGGGGCCTTACATTTAACATGTCCAAAAGGGACTCCTGATTTCCCCCAAACCTGCTCCACTGAAGCTCTCCCCCTCCCACCATGTGCCCAGGACCCTGAGTCATCCACGACTCATCCAATCTGTCAGCACAGCACAGCACATCATTTCTTTTTCTTTTTCTTTTTTTTTTAAGATTTATCTGTTTATGAGAGAGAGAGAAACCCAAGCAGACTCCACCCAACGTGGGGCTTGATCCCACAACCCTGAGACCCATGACCTGAGCCGAAACCAAGAATCAGATATTCAACTGAGTCACCCAGGCACCCCCCATTTGGATCTTTTTTTTTTTTTTTTAAAGATTTTATTTATTTATTTGACAGAGAGAGACACAGTGAGAGAGGGAACACAAGCAGGGGTAGTGGGAGAGGGAGAAGCAGGCCTCCCGCTGAGCAGGGAGCCCGATGCGGGGCTCGATCCCAGGACCCTGGGATCGTGACCTGAGCCGAAGGCAGACGCTTAACGACTGAGCCACCCAGGCGCCCCCCCATTTGGATCTTTAAAAGGACTTCAGAACCTGAGCGCTTTCCACCACCTCTATCACAGCCGCCCGGCCCCAGGCACCATCTTCTCCTCCTTGGAACACTGGTCATCTTCTGCCAGGTCCCCCTGCTTCCATCCTTACTCTGTTGTCTACACAACAGCCTGAGACCCCATTAAGATGGAAGTCAGCTTATGGGACTCCTCTGCTCAAAGCTCTCCAATTGCATCTGCCTCACTCAGAGTAAAGCCAAAGTCCTTACCTGTGAGATCCCAATCTGCCTCCAGTTCCTTTTCATACCTTATCTCCTACTCCTCTCCCCCTCCCTCACTCCAGTCACACTAGTCTTATTTTGTTCCTTGAAGATATTGGGCATGCTCCTACCTCAGGGCCTTTGCACCTGCTGGTCCCTCCATCTAGAACGCACTGCCCCAGATATCCCCAGGGTTTCATTCCCATTTGTCTTCCTTCAAATGTTGTCTTTTCAGAAGGCCTACCCCAACCACACTGTTGTTACACCCTCCCCAAACTTTCCCTGCCTCATTTTCCCCCATAGTCCTTATCTGCTGATATGTCTTTTACTCAACTGGTTTTGCCTGTAGTCTGCCTCCCTCCACTAGCATACCAGCTCTAAAAGGACAGAGATTTTTATCCACCTTACTCACTGCTGTATCTCTAATGCTTAGCACCATGCTCATTAGCACATAGTAGGCACTCAAATACTTCAATGAATTCATGAACTTCCTCATTTGCACAGAGGCAAATAGATCACCGAATTTCTGAGAAGATTTGGGTTCATACATATCAATGTCTGACACATGCTAAGCGCTCATTAAAAATTGATTGTTCTAATCTCAAGCCTGAGAGTCTGGCTCAGAGCCAGAAATCCCTGTCCTGGAGGACAAGAGTGAATTTAGCTGACGTCTGTGAAGAGGGCCCAGCCTTGGAAGAGGGGTACATTCTGGCCACATACTTTGTGATTAAATAGGGACACTGTTACTGGAAAACCAAAAATCCCACCTCTTGGATTCCCCAGAACTCTCAGTGGGTGGATGAGGTAGGCTGAGCAACCACCGGCATCTGGTCTTGACTGAGGATAGAGAACTAGGCGGTGTTGAGTATGGAACAGGGTGTAGAACATCTTTTTCCAAATACGGGTCATCATCTAGTAGCTGGTGAACGACTTAGTGGGTTGCAAATAGCAGCGGAAGAGAGAATACCTGTGTTATCACAGGAAAAGGGCACTGACCAACTTTAAATTTTTGGTTGCACCTACACATGTACACATGTATGCTGGTTCATCATGTTATTTCTAATTGTGGGTAAAAAAGAGGGAGGGAGGGAGGGAGGGAGGGAGGGAGGGAGGGAGGGAGGGAGGGAGGGAGGGAGGGAGGGAGGGAGGGAGGGAGGGAGGGAGGGAGGGAGGGAGGGAGGGAGGGAGGGAGGGAGGGAGGGAGGAAGAAAAGTAAGTTTGAAAGCCACTGGGCTTTGGGAAATTAAGACAGGCTCCAATCCAGGACCCATCAGCCCTACAGTGCTGAGATTGGAACATCTGAAAGCCCCTAGTCCCATGACTACTCTTAGGAAGTTTCCAGTAGCAATTGTGTTCTGGCCCCCAACCCTGGAGGGCTGATAAGATGTGGACTGTGTTATCAGGACAGGATTCATTAATTCAGCAAGTATCAATACTGAGTTCTGATTCTGTGCCAGGCACCGGACTAGATGCTTGGCACGTTATCAATAAACAAAACAAACAAAAATCTCAGGCCTTACAGAGCTAGTGTTCTAGCACGTGGACACACCAAACCGTATTACATGCTAGAGGACGGTTACTCGGAAAACATGGCTATTCCACAGGCTGCAGGGTTAACGGTCCTCGGAAGTACCAGGAACAGGGAAGGAAAGAGGGATTTTAAATAGGGTAGTCTGGGAAGATCCAGACGAGGTAACATCTCAGCAGGCTTGGAGGTAAAAGAATTAGCCGTGACGTCTGGGGGAACAGGCAGAGGGTCAGCCAGGGCCAAGACTTAAGGAGGTTATGTACTTAGCAGTTTCAAACAGCAAGGAACCAGTGCGGCCAAAGCGGAGGGCACCAGGGAGTGCGGGGTGGTCGGAGGAAGTTCAGACCCGCAAAGTGCCACTGGAGTCCAGGATGACACCCCAAGTTTGTGGCCTGGGCATCGGGAAGGATGAGGCTGCCACCGAGCGCGGTGCTGAGAGTGGGGGCACCAGAGCCTGGGGCACACGTGTGGGGGGCCAGGGAGGCGGACAAGTCACTGCCGAGGGCCCTTCAAAAAACAGAAAGCTCACAGCCAAGTTCTCAGAAGGCAAACTAGGGTGGGTCAGTCTGAGTCATTACTTTTTAAGCGAAAAATGAATGGCTTGGAGTTACAGCGAAATCTGTAAAGACATCACTCTAGATTTCCTGGTTCTTAAAGATCAGTTACGCCTTTTGTTTTCAGAGTATCAGAGTCCTTCCAAGAGCAAGAGGAACCCATAGGCAGATTACAGTTGGAACTTCCCCTCAACAAAGTTAAGGTCATTTCAAAATACAACCTGCAGACGTGGTTTGCATCAGAACAGTAAACTGAGGTCCCACAAAGTGTTTCCAACTAGGTTTTATTTTAGTGCCAATATTATCAGCAATGATACAGGAGTAATTCAGGCAAATAGATCACCTTAAGTACATCAGAGAAAAAACTCACTGTGTCAAGCACGTCTCACACTCCAGCAAACGAACGTAAAACCAGAGAACAAAGTTAGCAGCATTAAATTAAAGTGCTTTTTGCCACACTTCTGTCAAGAGTCTTTCCCTCACTGGGAAAAATTTAATTTTACTTACTGTATAAGAAACTCAAAATTCCATTCATTGCCCAGGGGCTACATTCAAAAACATTCATGTTTAGTTATTAAATAATTTCTTTTTCCCCAAAAAGCACAAAATTCACTGGAATCATGTGACAATGATTTCTCCTGACACGCTGGAAGTGACCACCATCTAGGCCTGGCAAAAAGCTCAGAACATCCCCCTGCCGTGGGGCGATCTGGGCGAGGTCCACCACTTGGTTCCACACGGCAGGTGCACTAAGGGTCTGAAAGATAAGTGGGCACCTGGAGAAGGTGCCACCTGCGTGGCCAACTACCAGTCAGCAGAGGCCACCAACTCATTTCCCGGAAGCCAGAGGGCGGGGGGGATTCAAGAGGACAAGCCCCACCTCTCTGCCTGAGCCCCACCTCTTTCTGGGAGACAGGACCTGCTGGTTTCTAGGAAGGTTTCAGACCTGAACTGTGAAGGCTGCTTGCCCCAGTTAACACCTTGGGAGACCGGAACCTGCCCCCACTTCAACCAGTAACAATCCCAAACTCAACAGGAAACATTTCTCAAAGTCAACACGAGGCCAGGTGAGGGTCAGTAAGAGGCTCTGGGGATCAGGGAGGATGGGAGGACCGGAGGATGGCTGCTGGGTCTCCCACACCGTCTCTCAGCCAGCTGCAGCCTCCCTGGCACAGGAGACTTAGTCCAGAGGACCGGTGGCCAAGGGCAGCCTGGGCCAAGGCAGGGGCGGGAGCGTTTCTTAAGGAACCTAATAGGGACGCAATCAAGCCTTGAGGAACCTAACAGGGATGCAATCAAGCTAAGAGCGTGGGCTCTCAGACCCTGTGAGCCCCTCACAGAGCAAGGTCAAACAGAAGGCCCTGTTCTCCGTGGACTCCACATTCTCCAGCCATCCTGGATGGGCCCCACCCCTCTTCCTCCGCCATCTTTCCTTCGGCTACATCCTTGAACGCTCTGGACCAAACCATCTCTGACCAACAATAAGACCAGACGACACGGGCTAAGGACTGAAACCAGAACGAGGGACCCAAAGAGGAGGAGGGAGGTCAAGGCCCTCCCTCATCGTGGAACCAGCTACCTGCTCTCTCCACACGGCCCCTCCCGCAGCCACTCTGACTCCAGCCACTTCTGCAACATCTTTCCCAACCCCAGGGCAACGAGGCCTGCCTCAGCCTACAACCCACGGCAAGCCCCACCCCTCCAAGACGTGTCTGAAATGCTCTGCCGAAGGAGCGGAGCACAAACGCTGAAGCGCCAAACCGACACACACACAGGCAACAGCCCTTCTGGGACGGACTTGGCCTTTCTGGAACTTGTTCTAATGCAACCTGGGAAGAAAACTCAACCCTCCCTAAGGCGGCCTTTCTCTGCAGGGGTGCTGGAGTGCTCGGCAGGCGGGTGTGCTCGCATCAGTGTTAGTGTTGGCCGGAGAAGGGGGTCTGCCTGATACCCTTAAAGGCTCCAACCAGGCATTCGGCGGTGCGGGCAAATCCCAAGACTTTGTCAAGCACTCAAATGAGTCTCAATCAAGTGCACCCGACAAAGCAAAGACTCGACTCCTCGGTACCATGCCGTCCACAGTCATCATTTAAAAAGTCTCCTTTAAGGGTACGAGCCAGATCTTCCTGCAACAGCAGGCAAAGGGGGGAAAAAAAAAACTAGCGATTAGGGGCTCAAAATGGTATGAGACGGGGGTGCTTTCGCTCTCACGGTGGCGGCCACGGGCAGGAGCTGTGCGTGGCCCTGGTGGGAGGCCCACACGGCTGGCGGCACCGCCCTTCCCCACGCGGGCTCCGGCTCACGGCGGCCCACTATCTGCTGGGCTGCAGGTACTGGTGAGTGAACATGTTGAGCTCGCTGTCCAACCAACCGGCTTTATTCCTGCAGAGAAATGGTTCTTCTGTAGCACTCAGAGCTGATCACGGGCAATAGCGTGACAGGCCAAGCGCTGTTCTAAGGACGCTTAACATGTAGCTTCGTTTACTCCTCTGATCACCCCCACTCCACAGATAAGGAAAAGAGGCCCAGAGAGGTCACGTAACTTCCTACAGTCACACTGTCATGGTGGAGCCAAAAGTCGGGCTTTTCTGACCCTCAAGCCCTATGCTGGCTTCCCCTGACCACAGGCAAGTCCCCAAACTGTCCGGAACTCGGTTTTCCTGTCGGTGAGGGGTTGGGTTGCCGGATACACAGCCCTTACGGGTTCCCCCTGTCCCCACTGGTGACGAGCAGCAGACACACACTCCACCACACACGCCCCGCATGAGATGTCCCATGAGGCCTGAGCCAGGCTGGTGGGTGGGGAGGGCGCATCTGCACTGTCAGGGAGGGAAAGTCCACTTGTCACCAAGGGGGCTGGCAATGATGTCAGCGGCGGGGGCAGGAAGCACAGGGTCCCCGTGTGCAGATGTTATCTCAGGCTGAGCGGGCCAGGGACCTTTGCACAGCGCTTTTAGGTTCAGCTCTGTGGCTCTGTCATGAAATCCTGCTCCGTCTTACAGATGAAAACGAGACCTAAGAAAGCTCCATGACCTGTCCAAACACGAGTGCCTGGGCCAGAACCCAGGTCTCTGGCTCCTTAGAATCATCCTCTCCAGCGAAGCACGGACGGAAGCTCTGACTTTCAACAGGGACCCCACATGGATCTGGGTGCCAACGCGGGCCCTGCCAGCCACCTGGTGCCTACCCCGCTCTCCTTCGGGTAAAAATGCTGACCTGCCCCCTTCCCTGGGCTCAGAGAGAAATGGAATAAAGCGTGTGGCAGGTCTAGCCCAGAGTCCCCAGCACACAGTAGACAATGAAAGATAATCAGTGTGCAGAGTATCACAGACTGCTAGGACTATGCACACCTGGATTCTTCTACTCCTGGCCTGACCATCTCCTATGGGACCCCAGACAAGTTACTTAACTTCCTTTTACAAAAAGGAAATGGGTTACACGAGCCTGGAGGGATGCCGAGGGCTCAAGCGCCAGCCACGGGCCGCTAAGGAGAAGCAGACGCCTTGGTTCCTCCACCACCAGCACGGCCCCGACTGCAAGCGTCTGGATGCCGGGGACCTACGTCTCGAACCTCCAGCAGCAAGCCATCTAACCTCTCACACACAAGGGAGGTTCGTGTCCACGCCCAAGACACAGACGCGCCCGCGCCGCACACCGGAGCCCACCACCACTGAGCACCCAGGCCGACCTCACCTGAGCAGCTTTGCTTTGCTCTGAAGTGAATCGAGAACTTCAATTTTCTTGTTCATGGTGGCAATTTCCTGCTCCAGGTTCTCCCGGGTGACATCGACTTGCTGGCACAGATGAGCAAAGGTCCCAGACAGCTCCCTGGGGGAGAGAGAGGCAGGGTGGACCAGACCACACAGCTGTTCTGCAGAACACCGTCGCTGGCTGAATCCTACCGAGCGCAGCGCAGCCCGTGCGTCAGCCGCTGGTAGCTCCAGCCAGCACGCCAGCCCAGCGTGGCACAATCCTGCCCGCCCCCCGCCGAGGCCGTGGACGTCACAGCCACCACCCACGCAGCATCACCCCAGGAGACAGCCGGGAGCACCCTGGCTTGGGCACAACGGGCCAGGATTCAGATCCCGGCCCTGCCGCTAATCACCCAGTGGCAGGGGAAAAGGGACGACTCCTCCAGTCTGTTTACCTGTTTGAATAAAGGAGAGGCCAATACAAACAACGTCTACTTCAAAGGGGTCACAGAGAAAATGAAAAATGAGGTGCGAAGTGCCTAGCAAGGGGCCCGCCACGCAGCGACGTAAGGCAGGCAGGCCAGTACTCCCGTCCACCAGCCAGGCCAAGCAATCCAGCCCCAGCTGCCCAAAGCTATGCCAGAGGACAGGCTTGTGGCTCAGCATCTCAAAGCTCTGCCTGTAAACCAAGCCAAGGCAACCTTTAATAAATGCTGCAAGTAATGTCCCTCATCTTCGCCTTCTCATATCCCCCCTCCTTAGGGGAACAGAGGCCTATGTGGTCCCAGCCCAGGACCTAAGGTGTCCCTGGAAAGACCCCTCTCCCCGTCCCTGGTTTCAAAGCCGGCACAGCACAGCTGAAGGCCAGTGGCAGATGATGCTCGGGACCCAGCCGTTTCCAGGCCAGGTCCAAAAGGGAAGCTAGAGGGAAGTCCTAAGCCACAGGGGCTGGCCCCTCGGCACGGACGAGGACACTCACTGCTGCACTTGGTGGCTGCAGTTGGAGCCCGTGTAGCTGATGACGAGCTGTAGCTTCTCGCTGGCATACTCTACAAACTGGCGCTTGAAGGCCCTCTCCTTGGCCTTGGTGGTCCATGTCAGACGCTCGTAGACATACAGGAGGCCATAGAGCCCAAAGGAGAGGGCGATGAGCCGCCAGCCCACCGCCTTCCACACCTGCAGAGACACAGTGATGAGCCGACGCAGACTCTCTGCCATCCCACTGCCCATCCTCTCGGCTGTCACTGCCAGACTTGCCCAAGGGCCCCAGTTCAGAAACAAGGGTAACTGAGTGTTGGCCACATGACATAACTCATGCAAAGGAGGTGAGGAGAAAGGGAAGGTGGTGTTAAGATGAGAAGCATAGACCCAGACACTCAGAATTCCTAAAACTGAACGTGGGCATGCTCTACGGTGACATTCCATTCCAATGGCCCTGACAAGTACAATTCTGCATTTCATTCCTTGGTCGGTGGCTCCTGTTCGTCTGGTCTGTAATACTTTGGTTCAAGGCAGTGTGGTTATGGTCAAAGAGCACTGGACATGGAGCTAGAAATCAAGGCTTCAGTGCTGCCTGCCTGCCTGCCTGCCTGAAACGTGGGCAAGTTTCTTTACACCCATTCTTCCCAAAAGAGGCATAATGGCCTCCACCCAACTCACAGGGTTGTTTGGGTAAAATGGGGTATTTAAGAGGGTCTCATGACCATCAAGTATCAGCATCTGAGCTGATGACGCTCTGTCAGGTCACTGTCTATGAATAAAGCAGCACAGCACGCACCACCGACAGAGAGGGAAGGCAAGGGGCCTCAGATTTGTTCCCTCCGCAGCCCTCCAAGCCAAGTACAACTCCTGGCAGTTTTGTTACCTTCACATCTGCAACCCCGTATAGCTCAAAAGACCGTGACCGAGAAAGCGAGGCTGCATTGTCAGGAAAACTCAACGTGTTACCTATTCTGGCTGCATCGTATCTTGGGTCAGGACGTGGGGGGGGCACCCCAGTTATCAAGAAGGCAGCCTGTGATCTCAGGCCCTGGGGTGGAAAGGGGAAGGGCAAGAAAACCAGGAGATAGACAGACAAGGGTTCAAGGCCCAGTCTGGGCTCTTTGTCTTAAACCCCTGCAGGTTTTGCTCTCAGCTTCCTCACCTACAAAGGAGAAGCACCTGGCCACACCCACCTATCTAGAACCCAGCTTTGTCCATTTCTTAGGCCTCTTCTCTGCCCATCATGTAGTATGGGCCCCACTGGGGCCAAACATGGCCTTGAGATCAGAGTTCCAATCCTAACTCTATGTCTTTGGCAAGCCAACAAGACGTTCCTCCTCTGTAAGACAGGACTGGTGCTGTCTAAACCTCACGTTAGTGGAGCGAGACTTAAAGAAGTCAACGAATACACGATGAAGCTTAGGCTCAGGCTGTGCACAGCTCCCCATGCAACCACAGTGAACAGTCGCTGGTGGCCGTGAAACCACCGGCGTGCCCACCATGACACACTACTGGGCCAATGCAGGGACCCCCGCCAGGACTGTGCCCCTTGGCCCCCACCCGCCCACCCACCTGCCCCCAGCCTTCCCGGGCAGGGCTTGTCACTGACCACGCCTCCAACAACGAGAATGCCCATGGAGGTCCTGGACGTCAGGGAGGCCAGGCCGGTGACCATGGAAACCATGAGCTCTTCCTGGGTGAGGGAGCCCTGCGGCAGCGGGGGCATGCTGGGGTTGGCTGGCGTCAGAGGGATGGGGCGCTGCACCTGAAGAGAGACAACGAGAGGGCTAAGAAAAGTGTGGCAAGTCTCTCATTCAACAGAACTCTCAGTGAGCCTCCGGGCCCGGAGGCTGGGAACAGGATCACAGCGTGGCTCTGCAATTTCCAAAAGACAAAAAAAAAACCAAAAAACAAACAACAAATGAGCTTTGCATGCAGCCAGGAAGAATTCAGGCTTCGTAACAGACCTGCCAGCCCCAAGGGGAGCACTAGAGGACCCCACAAAATGTGAGCACTGGCCGTCCCACCAAGTGTGGGATGTGCACCAGGAACAATACACACAGTAATTCAAGTGGAAGAAAGGACGGGAGTGGTTTGAAATCTGAACTGTGAAATGGTGCCATATGGGCACACTTAAATCTTCTGTATTTAACAGACGCTTATTTTAATATAAGAAAAAAAACTCAGCTCACGTTTTAAATTTGACAATTATCAGTGCGTAGGGTAACATTCAACTGAATTGTGGCAAAAACCTGGAGCCGTGACGTGCCGTCTGGCTGGCAACAGACGCGCCACGGCGGTTACCGCAGGACAGCCCCGTCAGCCCGGCCCGGGTGTCTGCAGGCAGGGTGCAGAAGGGCCTCCGGAGAGGCCCGAGGGTCAGGGACGCTGCTTGCCTGGTCATTGTAGCCCATCAAGGCCCGGCGGCTATTCTTGGGGCCCAGGAACCTATTCACCAGCATGGTCCAGCCGAGGGAAAAATGGAACTCGATGTCCTCCTGAAAGTCAGCACACAGCTTGTCACAGTTCAGGTCATAGCTGAGGGAGAAGCACTGCCGAGGGACCAGCATGTCTATCTGACTCCGCACAGACGCAGGAAGGAGGGGTTTCAAACCATCTGTCAGGAGCAGAAATGAGAAGGGCCATCAGCTCGGCCCTGTGCTGCACACGGAGGCCGTGCCGCCACCGCCGAGGCTCATGCTGACGGTTCGGCAGGAGTGGGCCCGTGGGGCCTGTGGGGCTGCACGTCCCTCTCCCAGAGAGGCAGGCCAGCACTCCCCACGGGTCTGTGGACCGAGGCGCCACACCTGCTGATGTTTATGCCAAGTGTGAATCTCAGGACAGACCAAACCCCAGCCTAGGACAGTCCCGTGGGGTCACCCAGGACGATTTCCGGAGTCTGTGTGTGGAGTGAACGCACAGCACACCCCAAGAACCTGAGGGTCTTGAGCTAACTCATCATCAAAGGTGACAGACAAGGAAAGGCCGTTGTTTCTGTGGACGGGCCTCCAAAACGGACCTCTGGCAGCGCAAAGACCCCCGCAGCACTGACCTATCATGTCCTGCTGCATGGTCTGCAGGGAGTTGGTGATGGCCGTGGAACAGCGGTCGGACATATTCCGACCCAGTCCTTCCTCTATATGGCGGTGCAGTTCCTGCAAGCGGAAGGGAGAGCTTAAGAGAAGCAGCACCATGGTCGGGAGCTCCTTCTGGGGACCAACCTGAGGCCGGTCAGCCCGCACCCGCAGGTGACCGCGGAGCACTGAGTGAAGTCTGGGTCCTGCCCCCCTGGCTGAGGGGCCTAGACACAGACCAGCAGGGGCTGAACCACTGTCCCGCATGGGCCATTCCACCCCGTAGCCAAAAGGGATGGGGGTGAGCGCAGAACACCTGCCACTGACAACTCACGTTCTTGTAGACCTTGAGGACCACTGGGGAAGGGTGGAAATCCATCTGGTACTCGTCCACCAGCACCGAGAGGCGTCTAATCTCTTCCGCCATCGCGGTGGACACCTGTGGGACGGGGCGCACCGTCAGGTACGGAGGGCGAGCCTGCTTCCGTCCTGCAGCATCAGGAGAGGCTAAGCAACTCTCACAGATTGCACCAGCTCCCCCGTGAGCCGGCAGTCTCCTCAGCTCACTTCCAGCGGGAAAGCTTCTGAGGGAGAAGGGATGTGACAGATGGGCGGGCAAATGCTCACCCGAAATGTGGAGGGGAGGCCCGGAGGATGGGGACTGGCCCAGGGAGCCCCAGGTGGTGGTGGGGGGGTACTGTGGGCTCGAGTCAGGGCCACATCTCCCTCCGGGAGGCTGAGAAACCGCCAGGATGAGGAAGTGTGCTCTTTCACCTTCCCGGCACCCCGGATGTGACTTGGAGTCCCGATCTCCCCGGGGTGCTTCCTCCCCACTCCTCACCTGCCTCTCCACCTCCTCTGTGATCTGCTTAATCCGCAGCTTGTAGTCCTGCGCCAGGAGCTCCAGCTGCTTGTCAATAAACCTCAGCCGCTCTTGCCGCTCTTCCCGCATTTCCAGGCAGTAAACCCTGAGAGAGCGCGCACTGGTTTCAAGAGCGGGTCCCCGCCCAACCCAGCAGAGGAGCGAGGGGACACCGGAAAGCCTGCGTGTGCCCCGGTGGTGGCCCCAGAGGTATCATGCACATGCCGAGACGCGCTCTCCCCCCTCCCAGCCGCCAGCCACGTACTCTTGGGACTTCCACCTCAGAAGGGGTGGTGGCAGGGCAGGGAGGGTGCTTTCAGGGGGCTTAGAAAAGCTTCTGCCCATTCACAGAGGAAAATAAAAAACTCAGTCTCACTAGTCATCGGGGCAATGAAATTAAAAAGAGGTTCTACTCTATGCAGGCAGAAGCCTGACAGAAATCAGCAAGTCTGAAGTGTTGGCAAAGCTCGGGGAGCGCCGAGTCCCAGCAACGCACTGCTGGTGGGACTGGGAGCACATTCAGCTGTTTGAGAGAGCAACAAAGGAAAACAGGGTAAAACTGAAAATGCACGCACCCCAAGATGGAACAGTTGTACCTCCGGGAGTTAATCCCAGACAGACTCTTACAAATGTACACAAGGGGACCGTAAACTGGTGTCCACCGCAGCAGGGTTTGCAACAGGAAAATAATGCAATCTAAAGGTCAACCCCCAGGAGGGGTGCCTGGCTGACTCAGTCAGTGGAGCATCCAACGCTTGAGCTAGGGGTTGTGCATTCGAGCCCCATGCTGGGTACAGAGATCACTTAAATAAACAAAAACTTAAAAAAATCCATGGGGAAAATGATGTATATTCCCAAGGGAATACCCAATGGCAGTTCATAGTCCCAAACTCCAACTCTATGTTATCCACAGGGTAGGGGGTAACACCAGTGCTGAGCAGAAACAAACACGAGGTGCGCTAACACGGACAGTCCCGATATGACGTCCCCGTATCTAAAGCAACATTACATATTCTTCAGGATCTATGTGAAAGTACTTTTTAAAGGATGACAGCTACACACCAAAGTCATGGTTGTGGTTGCCTCTGGGGAATGGGCAGGATGACAGCGGGGCAGGGGCTGAAGAATCAAAGAGCATGTAATGGTTTTTTTATTTCAACTTTTAAGATAACGTAAAGCAAATGCTGAAGGAATCAAGATGTTTTCATATTATTCTCTATATTTTCCTTATAAATGTCTACCAAAAAAGATTATTTTTAAAAAATATGGGACACCTGGGTGGCTCAGTCGTTAAGCATCTGCCTTCGGCTCAGGTCACGATCCCAGGGTCCTGGGATCGAGCCCCACATCGGGCTCCCTGCTCAGCGGGAAGCCTGCTTCTCCCTCTCCCAC